GTTGCGGCGATATGTACAAACCATGTAATTAACCACCCATATGCGTATACAACTTTTACTGGAAGTAATTGATCGGACTCCTTTCCCAAACCTTTAAAATTGATCTAACCGCTATATTTATCGAGATGTAAAAACGAATTTTCGAAAAGATATGATTTTTACTCTTATTATTTATTAGCAAAATTTTCTTACTTCAGTCGCTTAAAGAAAACTGCCTGAAGAAGATATTTTACATAATCCTTTAGGTGTATTAAATTTAGTGGCAATATCAATTATATATAATTAGTGCTATGTAACCACTGAAGCATTTTTTTTAGAGATTTTCATGTCAGAAATACACTCCGTAAGAAAATTAAATTTTTCTATATTGGTTGGACTGGCACTCGAACCCTGGCAAACACGTTTAGGGACAATAATTTCGAACTGAAACTACTTTATGAAAGTTGCATATCAACGTTGAACGTAAGTTAGTTTTGAGTCTATGGAGAACAGAAAAACTTCTTTCATTCTCATTCTGGAATAAGCACTCTTGATCATTCATATTTTCCCAAAACGTGAACAACGGAATTTTGCCCAGAATTTTCAGAGTGATTACTACTATCCACCATACCCGTATTAACTGATTGAAAGACTAGCGAGCACAAAGAGCCGCATGTATGAAAAACAAACTTCGTAACACTGGAATATATTGTCTGTAGAAGTTTTCTATATTCCAATGCGATATCATTATGCAACGATTAATCTGTCATGAGTTAACAGATCCTTCCTTCAATATGGTATGGAGCCAATCGTGAATAGATTTTTCTTTATTAAAATGTTCATACTAATCACCTAAGCGCCCACATGCCAACAAAACATTCAAAAAAACTACATGAATTATTATCCACTCAAAACAAAGTTTTATCCATCGATAGATTTTTTAGCTTAAAAGGGTTTTCTTAAAAATAACAGTCGAGTTATGCAATTTTTATGCCAAACTCAAAAATTTGAAGTAAATTGGCAAAGATATATTCAATAAATTCGATTCCAACTAAAAGACCACTACCGTGAGTTTCAAGAGATTTTTTCGATTTCTTCATTATTTATTGATTTGAAAGCCGACTGAGTAACAAGATCTGAAAACGTAATGAATCTCAAAGGTATTTAGGTACTTAATCTGAGAATCAAATGTTATCAATTGTTGTAAAGCATTTTTTTATGAATTTTGCTGAATTTCATATTTGTAGTATGTACATATGTATATGTATTGATATATAGGTGTAGTAAAAAGAAGTCCATTATTTTTCCAATAGACGGCATTATTTCTCTGTATCTGGCATTAAATAAGTTGGATTAAATTCCGATAGATGGCCTTGGCCAAGAAGGAGATTTGAACAGCGTTTATGATCCTAAATCTGTAACAGCCAATCACCCGCAATTTTGATTTCATAGATTTGGCTCCGGTAATTTGGATGTCAAAAGTGCACCACTCACAAATGTCGAAAATGTTGATAAAATCATGGACATTGTCGAGTCCGACCGTCATGTAAGCACTGTTTCGATTGTCTCAGAGCTAAAGATTACACCACCTGGACCAAATTTCCGTTTGCGAATCGCTGCTGAATAGCAACAAACTCGACAAATTTCTGGAGTGGTTAGTGACTGGCCATGAAAAGTAGAACACTAACGACAACGTCAAGCGAAGTTTTTGCTGTGTGTTTGGTGGGATTGGCAACGCCTGGCAACACACATCGATAGTGACTCGGCAGAAACTCAGGTAGCTTGGTTGGGAGGTTCTTACCATCTATTACTATCCATGGTGAACAATTTTGCTGATGAAAAGGCTTGTGAAAATGAACGGTCTCAATTTTTTGCCAATAGGAACGAGGGTTTATATGAGAGAGGCATAATAAAATTACCTTTAAAATGGCTACAAGTTATCGAACAAAACAGCGCATTTTTGCCCTAAATCGGATTATTTTATATACTCGTATGGTAATTAAAGACTTCAATTTCATGCAAAAATAATGGATTTCTTTTTACTCCACCTACATATAATTATTATTTTATTTTATTTATTATTATTTGAAAATGAGTTATGCATTAACATTAAAGTATGCATGCGTGGGGATTAGTAAATCTATATGATATATATATATGATGTAGGATTTTTTGATTACATACATATGTACATATGAATGTACGTAGGAACAATCCATTTTTGTGCGATTGCGGTTTTAATTTCTGCGACATGCGTATACGAGTACATATGACAGAATTTCTGGAGTGCCATTCACTACAATTACAACTTCATGCATACATACATACATATATACTATCATATATGTATGAATATATAAATAGGTATACATTTGAATACATAGGAGTTTACGAGTACCTGTATATTACCTATCGGCATGTGTATAATGCAGACATTGTGAGCGTATGTACACATGTAAGCATGTAGCTATACAATTGGAAAATATACTTACATACGTGTATATGTATGTAGGTATGGCTATGGTCGCCATTTCGGACTCGTATAATGAATTAATCGATTTACACACGTGTTTGCTATGTGAAATAACAACGAATATGTCACCATGCTTGTGAAATGCAAATCCGGAATTCGAACCGAAGTGAATTGCACTTGTCCGAATATAAGGCTTTAACACATCCCCAAAAACATCGGTTATGGTCGTAGTATTTTCAATACATAAGACAAACCGTGGCATGCCCTTCACACATGCGAGTTATATAGTGCACCTAACGTATATACCGTATAGACCTACAATACATATGTACCTACTAAATTTACGTTGCGTATACGCACTTGTTTACATACGTGTACACATACGCATGCACGCAAACACTGAAATCTACGGATTCTGGAGAATGCAATGGCGTTGAATGCACAACTTAGACAAATTCAGATGGAATGGTATAAATGGTGGAATAAATGGGAATCTATGTTAATTAATACACCATATAAACTATTGATTTTTGATATATTTCGAGTAGAATTTTAATAAATACGCTCCTCTAAAGGTCTCGATGGCGAGCAGGTTTAAATGCAAAAGAATTCCTTTAATTCGATACAAGAAACTTTTTAGGGTAGAAACTATATCCTTTAGCCGATCCATCGCCACCTTTTCAATCGCACTTCTATGTATCGTAGCCTAACATAAAATAGCATAAACTGGCTTGTACTCTAAAATTGTTGGCCAATGCTCTAAACTTCGTAAATACTCCTCAGAATTATATAAGCTATATGATTAGAAACTTGATTACTTTGCTTCAGTAAATAACTGAGTAAATTAAAAAAGGAAGCCTAACAAACAAGTAAAACATAATAAAATATATACTTTGTGCTCTGTATCTTAGATATATTTGTACCTATATAATATTCATCACCTATTCTGGTTATTCTTGTTCATTGCGAGATAAATTCGGGACTCTTTTTTTGTACAATCTTCAAAAATATTGAGACGGGCTTATAACCGACAAAATGGTTAGGTGGCTCAATAGGACGATAACTAACTTAGTTAAATACAGTAATCAGACAAGCTAAGTACATCATCGGATTAAAATCAAAAATATTGGTACTAAAATAAATATTAACTATATACTGTTTCAATGGCTTTCATTTATACACATTTTTAATAAATCCAATGAATAAAATGTTAAGCCAAATAATTTGTTTTTTTATTTTAGTTGCAATTTGCAATGTCGTAAGTTTTTCCCAGATTCTTATTTTCCTTCTGCTACATTCAATTAAAATAATAAAAACAGAAACGATGATTTTCCTATTGTCTTCTTCTTAGAAAAAAGGGGAAAAGCCTATAATATTAAAAAATGGTCAACTGAACTTTTCTCGTATACCTTTATGTACGATACGAGATTTTAGCTATTTGGCTTAACACTTTGGTCGAATACAGGCGATAGGCTAAATAAATGAAGAGTCTACTTGGTCACGTGGTTTATTGCAAAGTCTCCAATACATTTGTAACATGTATATGAGAGAATAAGAAACCCAATGCAAGTATAATTTAAAAGATTCAAATTATTTGTATATCACAATTATTGTAATTAAACAACCCCAAATACATTTCTATTGAACAATAAGTACATAAGATCATCTTATACAGCCAAATTATCCATAAAATGTAATAAACTAATTTGGTCCAGGTAGCTTGTTTTAATAGAATCACTTTTTGATGATGTTATCCCAAGTCGAAACCTCAATTTTACTAAATAAAATTCAAAGTGATTAACTTCAATAAAAAGGTTTAAAGAAAAAATTTCATCTCAATAGTTATTAATAAAAAAGTTACATAACTTGATAGTACTAAGTTTGGTAAAATCAAATTATTTTCATTTCCTAATTCTTCAATTTGAACAAAAGAAAATAACGCTTGCTTCCTAAGAATAGCGGTGCATAAATATTTTGTTTTTTGTTAACTTATTATTCTTCATATTGTAGGTTCATGAAAACTTTTTTCAATCTACGTGTGTACTTGCATATGTATATGTACATATATAATAATACATGAAAATGAAATTATAGAAATTTCTAATTTTTAAGAGTAAAAAAAATATATCTATTCTATCTATGAATCTATCTATATAAATGTATCATTATATATATATATATAAATATTAAATTATTTTATATTTACAAATCCGTTTTTATGTATGTATACACATAAATAATTTCCTTACTACATTTGCATATGTGCATGTATGACCGGTGAGCCAAAGAACCGGTGCGAAATTCACTCCTCATATGGGAAAAAACATTTTTACATACATATGTACATGTATGGGAACGTGAATGTATATTTATGTACATATATGTCATTTTAGATACATCTACACAAATGTCCATACCCTGGTATACACACTATATTTTAAAGCGTTAAAAACTTAAAAACTTATTTAAAAAGCGCATACGCAGATGCATAGATATGATGATTGATTAAAATAATTTCATTTACATCAAAAAAAACTCCATAACTTACCAACTGTCCACTGAGTATCCACTCTGTTGCATACACTTTTAAATTCACCTTTTACTTTTATTTATAACTGCATTTTTTGCTATTAATGCCTAATATTTTATGCACAAAATTTGAAAATTTATAAGAAAAAACTTAATCGAAATTAAGTATTCTTTCAACACTTGTATATACCACATGCGACAAAAGCAATGGGAACACCTCAAGTTGCGGCTTTGAATCTCAATCGTTGTCTTTCGCGTTGATGCTGGAGCGTCGGGTTTTCATGCATCGTGTTTCCACTTCATATTTATGTTTTTTATTTCTTAATTTTCAATTCTACTCATACATAACACTCACGTACTTTTAATTCACTGTATGCTTGCGCTTTTATGTTTCCTGCCTTTTTTTATTTAACTATATTCTCGTAAGTGCATATGCATATGTATGTATATGTATATGTATATATGTATTTACATACACATGCTTAGAAAATGTTATCACTGCAATCCTGATTCTACTCATACATGAATACAAAACACTGTAGTAGTAATCATCACTTGATGGTATATAAAATATATATGTACATTTACTTAAGTACATACATACAAACAAACATATGTATACTATTTGAACACCATGCATTTGCTCGTCACTTCCTCATTGCACTTTTATTTTCCGTGCCTTTTTCTCACTTGTTGTCACATCGGCTCGAAAAACTTATTTAATTTGAGATTGTGCGCAGACTCTCTCAATTTCAGAAAACTCTGTAACTTTCCTATTTACTCCCAGCTAAACTGTGTGATTATCCTTCGGCAACTGCTTCTCTTCTCCGTTTTCGCGTTTCGAATTTTTCTCCGTTCTATTAATTTCCAGGCACAACCGAACACTAACAGCTTCGAACAGCAACTGATTTTGCATTGCGGAGGGCAGCAAATTATGATTGCCATTAGAACAATGAGCGCTAGGAGTTCATCTGTGCTTTTTTGCACTCAATTCAACTGTTGGATGCTGACAACTTTGAGCTATTCAGAGATAGTTCCACAAATTTGAGTGACCCACACGGCTATTCATTTTAGGCCAATTCATTTGGAATCTTTTTATTCATTCATGAGCTTTATTTCAGGAAAGATATGGTTTTCTAAGTCGGCTTCGAGTATTTCCGGTCCTTTAAGATTGAATTAATACTGTCCAATTTCGATGTCAAGGTTTTGCTATCCTTGAAAGTATTCGTTCGATTATTGCCAGAATTTCTAATATGCATATATATATATATACATAGAAGAACTCTACTTTTGTGCCTGTCTCGCATTTAGACCCATCAGTACATATACATCTCTTTGCTACTGCCGGAAGCTTTACCTTCCATGCATTCTTTCCTGCTCGGAGAGGAACAATTGGTATGTTACTGGATTTTCGCTTTTGCTGAGCACTTTGTACGTTTAGCCAGAGTTCTAGGGGTGTGTACCGAAATGTCTAGAATTTCTGGGCGGCTAATGGTTAGTGCTGCTTCAATTTCTCTTGTAGGGCCCTTGTTGCGGTTGCTCTCACTGCGCTTGATATAACCAGCAAGCAGATGAACATATGTATTTCAGAGTCTGGTGTTTCAACGAAAAATTACTCCGAGACATTTTGCCAGGCTATAGGATACTATTTTTTTTCATCTTGGGTGAGTGGCAGAAGTCAAATTTTTCCGGGCTTACAGTGCAGACTGGATGATTAAGATATTTGCCCGAACATGTCTATGTGTGAGTTTCGATATAGAACGATCTTCGGGATAAAAATGTTTTTTTCAAACAAAAAAGGGGATGCTGAAAATCTATTTATAAAATGCTCCCAGTAAGACGAAGAGTCGAAGAGTATTGACAGATACGAAGCGGTCACCTTTATAGCACAGCCTTATTAGGTGTATTGGCTGATTTCAAAAAAAAAAAAAAAATATTGTAAATGGCGAAGTAAAATTTTTAGATCACAACTGCCGCTACCGCAACATTGAATATTAAGTGGAAATACGTCAGCTCATGCCAGCCATGGGGGAAACTTGTTCAGTCCATCAAACGCACACTAAACTCCACGCTGATGGAGCGTGCTTCTAAAGAACAAACACTTTACAGTCTATCTATCGAATCGGAGAATATCGTAGACTCAACATCATGTACACAACCAGCGAACTGGAACCAATTAGCAATGGCATTTGTTACAAAACATGAAAAATTACTTTTGGAAACCTTGGCTGAACGAGATTTTCTGATTCTAGCTCCTCGGAAGAAATGGAATCGCCCATCAAAAGTAATCACCGGAAGTCTTCTCCTAATATTCGATGCAGAATAGCGCTTTTCTGTATGGTTCAGGCCAAGAATTGAGCTTACACATTGACCCAGATGAGGGTTCTACGTCAGCGAAGATGACGAAGAGATTAAACCCAATGTTATAGAGGTACACAATTGAAAAACGAAATAAAATTTTTGCTTATTTTGTGGTATTCTAAGGTACGAAAAAAAATCAATTTTTTGGAAAACCATAAATAGATATGTATGTATGTACGTATATTACATCATATCATACATGTTCATACGTATGTTATACTTACTTATATATTTTGAGAATGAAATTTCTAATGCTTGTCGCGTGCTATGTAGCATAAAACTTCTAAAATTTCCTAAAACCTAGAAGCATAAAAATTAATAAGCCAAGTTCAATTGCTTGCTTAGCTTATAAGTCGCGATATATATCTATTTATGTGTATGTGAGCTTTTGCATACAAACTTAAAGACGCAGTAAACTAGAAACATTATACCCGCCAGCGTTACGTGCTGAGGTACATTAAATTTGTTCATCTAACGATTGTTTGCAGACAACTTCGTCAGCGCTATTAAAAACGAGATTAACAATTGAAGTAACCTCCCATAGAAAACATTTACATGTTGTTACAGTCTTGATAAAACTCGATCTATTTGATGAATATGTTAGCTTCATGTGCAAATGCAGTAGACGCTTTGGCTTAGTATCAAAAGTTAGATTGCGCCGTGCTTAACTCTTCCTTACTTGCTCACGTATTCTATTTGGTGACTGTTTGAGTCCTTTTTAGGCAGCACTAATATTTATACTGCACATTATAATGTGAATTGGAAACTTCAAAAACATTTTTACTTTTGCTTTCAAATATAAATGATTGGCAGTTACCACCGCACTTATTAAACGCGCGTCAAACCTCCGATCAATCACATCAAAACGCTGTCAGGGAAGACTTCGTTTTGTTTTCGATAATCACACAATAACACAAGCAAGATGTTAAAGTTCGTAAGTAACCGCAGTAGAATACTAGGACTTCAACTAGTGACTCAAGTTTTAGTGCATAATTAGTTAAATGTATACTACTGAAATTGAAAATAATAGTTTAAGATATGCGTCCAAAAACAAAAATAAAAATACCACGCAAGCTTTGTGAAATAAGCTAAAATATCAAAGGAAAGTTAAATCGACTCTTCTGCATTCGTTCGGTTAGTTTCTCCGTGTTAACAAACATGATTTGATTAAAATTGCAAACTCAATTGACCTACTCAATAATTTTCGGTAATCGAATCGAATCGAATGATCGCCTAAGGCAATATCTCAAAGGGAACGGCGGGTTATGTAGTCGTATAGCCTAGCAAATTGAGGACAAATGGCTACGCTAACTAAACCATGTCGACGAATGGACGCAAATACTCCAGCTTTGAAAGTTTTCTATATAGTAACCGTTGGTGGCAGAAAGAGAGAGAAACATAATAACGTTGCTGTTGGAATGGGCCGGGAATTCGGTAAACTGAAAACTGTGTCGAGTTGATATAAATGTAAGGTTTCCTTTTTATATCTTTCATGTACATACGTACATAAAATGTTATATTAACTTTGGTCCAAAGTGTGTTATTGCCAGAAGGAGAAGAGATAGATCCATCAAAATTTATACCGATATGATCAAAATGACAAGTTGAGATGATTTAACCATGTCTGTCTGAGATATTTCAACCAGACTTGATACAATACCTAGACGCACTGGTATACTTAAACGATCATTTGTTGGAACCAGGGAGGTGAAATTTGGTATTCCATGCATATTTAATGGAATACACGTTGGTACTAAAAATCATCGAAATCGAAAACCAAACACTCGGTTTTTCAGAAATAAAGTTTTGAGTCGAGAATCCGTAAAAAAGCCGGATGAGGACATGAAATTTGTCAGTCTACACACATAAAGTACAGCATATTTATACTGAATATCTTCGAAATCAGAGGACTATATCCAGCCGCCATGGAACCGATTTGTTCAGATAAAGGGTTTGAACTCTCAGAAAAGCATCTTTTTCACATGTATATACAAATGAACATTGGTATCTTAAATCTTTGAAATGGTAATGGACGGTGGCCGTAATAGCCGAGTGGTTAGCATTGCGTACTGCCATTCTTACGAACAGGTTTCGATTCCTGGTTCGACCAACATCTAAAATTATAAAAAATTCATTTTTCGAATTGCGGTTAACCATCGATGGGGTATGTCAAAGACTCCGAGTGTATTTTTGACATGAATTCAAAGCTTCTCATAAAAAACCCTCAGTCATTCGGAGGCGGCTTAGAATAAATTATAGGTGAATCCGTTTGTTAGAAAACATCAAGACTCACAGGAGGAGTAGCTTTTGCCTAAAATTGATGGCCGAAGACAGTGCTGCTTTCTTGTTAGGTTTCCAATTGTGTCACTTCAAGTTCTTGTATTAATTATATAAAGATAATTTCAATTTTATTGTACATGCGTGTATATTTAAATACAAGTATGTTCAAACAAAAACTTTTATCCATAATTTATATCGATTATTATTTTCTTTCTTTTATTTCTATAGTTCACCATTTGCCTTCTTACGGTTTTCACCGTCGCCACAGCGAAACCACAATGGTTGGTACCAAGCACTTATACCGCTCCTGTAGGTGCTATTGCTGCACCATCCGTAGCCTTAGCGGCACCCTCGTTTGTTGAACCTTATTATGCCTCATATGCTGTCACTCCTTGGTGGTCATCGTATGCTGCATATCCATATGCTGGTTCGTACTGGTGATGAATTGTTAATAAAAAAACGTGCGTAAAAACAACGAAAGTAGTCACGATTTTTATACGTAAATCGTTTGTTAACACTTTACTCACAATTTTATCTTTGTTATGCGTAAGATACAATTAAGCCGATATTATATTTTTCATATGTTCTGAGAAAATAAAAATCTTTCAAAAAAAAATTGTTTCCGTATCTATTTTGAATTGAGTTTTTGTGTTAGTCGTTAAAAAGATATCATACTATTATAGTAATTTTAATTCGAAAATTATTAGAAATGTCTTCAAAAAAGTGAGGTTATGTGATGATCAGAGGAGAGGTTAGATGAGTGTATCTATTTAATTACATACATGTACTACTTATTTTAATAAAAATTTAATATATTATTTTTTAAACAAAAATTTATTCAACAACAGTTTATATGAAAAATGAAAATTCCAATTCTTAAAAAAAACAACGTTTCATGCAAGATGAAAATAACAAGTTTCAAAATGTGAAAGTAAATACCCATAAGTAGTAGTGCTCCGATTTCAATGATTTTAGGTTGCAATGTTTATTTGAAAATACGAAACTCTGATGGTAACGGTACAAAATATTTCGAGTTTATTACCACAATAACCTAAATTTACAGATATTTCTATAAGTTTTTACTATAAAACTTAGACGGTATTTTTTTTTAACTGGAGCAGAACAATTGTAAGTTTTCAGCAAGTATGTGGTTGTGCATACATACGAGTAAGTGGTTGTAAAAAAGTAAAACTTAATACAATTTCTAAGATAGGCCTCTTGTTTATAACCAAAGACGAGTGGTTTTGTTTAAAATTTGAGCGCCTGCGAGAGTCATGAAATGAACGATCACAACAATTGGGTAAAAATTTTGGTGGTCTACTTTGTACTACGGTAGGTTTAACTGGTTACCTTCTTAGTGCAGGTACGCTTTGTTGCTATGTATCTAGTCTGAAGAGCATTGCTGTTCTTTCATTAAATTGAAATCATTAACCGCTGCAGACTGAAGATCCTGCATTTTATCATCGTCCAGTGAGATCATGCTCTGTCTGCAGAAAGCTTTGCACTCACATATTATGTGCCATACTGTCTCTACCTTACATCTCCAGCATTTGTGGTCAGTGCCTTATTTACAACTCTGCTAACAGCTTAGTCAGCTTTCCGTCGAACCATGCTAACCACTCGGGTATCGTTGCCGACACCATAATACATATCCCTCATTAAATATATGGACATTATATAAAAATGTATGTGCTGGGAATATTAGGTTCAAAATCCCAATGCAAAGCAAGCAAATCAAAAATGAAGTATTTTTTAGAATTCTACCCAATTATATTCAGCAATTCCTATTGTATTTATAGAATCATCTAATTCTCTCGACCCCCGAATGATTCTGCAGTTCTCTGAAAAAAAAGCCAGTAATAGTCCTTTCCGATGAGCTGATGGGCAGTAACAATCGTTACCAAACGCGGTGGGGCAAAAATCAAATAAAATTTGAAGGAGTTATTTTGACTTTACTCGTTACTGGCTAATCCTTGCTGACATTTTTCACCGGACATGATAAAACAGCAGCAAAAAACAGCTGCAAAAAACAGTCATCATTCACTTCATAGTGATCACAATAAGACATATATTCATATTTCTCATTTAGTTAGTTAGAGCGAATTAAAAAACAAGTATCTAACTGAAACTAAATTAAGCTGATGAAAGTTAAACGAAAGCGAAAAGCTTCGATATGATGATTCAGTATTCATGAACTTAAACAGCGCAATTTCCTGTGTGAATGAAGAAATGAATTTTTAAATGCAATATCAACAAAATGATCAAAACACTTTTCGGAGACACAAAGCTTTAAAAACGAAGAAATATATTATTATATAATTAAGAACGTATTGAATTTCCATATCGAATCGAAAGAGCATTATCATAAAAACACAACTTGTCACATTTTCCGTTGTCATTCATACGTATTTATTTATACTTTTAACGGAAATAAAATCACAGATTAATCCAAATGTAGTAATGCGAAACTTTACTTCAACAATACAGGGGCTGAAGCTACGTAAGGTGAAGCTACGTATGGTGAGGCTACGTATGGTGAAGCTACGTAAGGTGAAGCAACATAAGGAGCAGCAGCGATGGGCGCAGCCGCATATGCTGGGTACGCTGCGGAGTGTGCAATGCTGTGCGCATTATAGCTGCTGGCATAGGGAGCTACGTAGGCGGCACTACCTACCACGGCTGGTGCAGCGGCCAGAATTCCTGGTTTAGCAGCAACTACGGCGAACACGGCAAATAAACAGATGGCAAACTAAAGGAAAAAATCGCATATTAGAATTGGTTTGAAGAATATACGAGTACATATGTACATGCATATAAATAAAAGAGCTAAACTTACAAATTTGAACATATTGATGGCTTGTTTAACGTTAACACTTTGAGTATTAAAATGCTTTTGTCCGTATGCTTTGTCGTCGGCCGCAATTTATAGTGAAGTGAACTATTGGGCTGAGGTTGAATTTTGGCCATGAAAAACTGCTTTCGTATTCCTCGAGTGTCGCTTCGGTTAATGTTTACACGTAGTTCGACTTTTGGCCCAGGCAAACTGAGTTTGGTGTTTACATACATACGTATTGGTATGTATCTACGTATGTGCGTATGTATGTATTACAGTTTATGCATGCATGCTGCAACAGTTGGCAATCGGTTGGATAAAATAATTTTGTTATTTCTAAATATCATTATCAAAACCTACTGAATGTAGAAGAGTAGTAAGCTTTAAATCCATTTTTTTATTACGTGAATTCAGATAGAATTTTCAAAAATTCGATTTTCTTCTTCATTTTCGTAAAGTATAAAATATTCTTAGAAAATTTGAAGTGAATCCGACGAATACTTGAGTTGTTCGGCAACTAACTCAGGAGCTTCAGAACGTTTGCATAAAACTTTAAATGTGTTTTTCCAAAACTCTATTTTTAACTGGTGATCACTATAAAACGAAAACTCCTTGATAGATTTCAATTAAATTTATACAACTTTTGGAACATACGGAAGAATTATTTTATTTATTGGATGAGTGCATAAGTTCCGAATCGTTTGAGAGTGGCGCTCGTGAAAGAGATATATACATATTATATATCGTTGGAAAGGTGACAGTCCGAACTGTTAATCAAGCATAAAATAACTTCATTTTGATTTGAGTTGCTTAGTGAAAAGACGCATGGAAGATGGACAACGAAAAAGATCATATGCGTCATATTATGTTATACGAATTCCGCAAAGGAAAAACAGTAGGCGCTGCAACTAAAGATATTCGCGAAGTTGATTTGGACCGTGCTCCAGCACTCCGCATAGTAAAGAAATGGTTCGCGAAATTTCGTTCTGGAGATTTTAACCTCGAAGATCAACCTCGCAGTGGACGGCCTTCTGAGCTTGATGACGATGTTCTAAGGACTTTAGTTGCGAATAACTCACGTATTTTGACGGAAGAGGTTGCCAGTGAATTGAACGTCAACAAATCAACTGCGTTTCGACGTTAAAAGAAGGTTGGGTACACTTTGAAGCTCGATACATGGGTGCCACATCAGTTGAGTGAAAAAAACAAAGTGGCCCGTATGTCAACAGCAATTTCTTTGCTTCGATTATCATTTGTTTCGATCGCTGCAGAACAATTTGAATGGAAAAAAATTTAAAAATGTGGAAGAGTCAAAACCTACCTTGACACCTTTCTCAACGAGGAACCGCGCGATTTCTATGAATCAGGCATCCGTAAATTGGTTGAATGATGGCGAATACGTAATTGATTAATAAAAGCGTTTTCTTCAAAAAATTTCAATTTTACAATAGTTTGCACTTGAAATCGGGCACGAACTTATGCACTCATCCAATATTTAAAATTTGTATAATGATAATTTAAATATTTTCTACGTGGACCGCGCCCTTTACCGAGGTACGGTTATTTAGTAAAAAGAAGATTTCGAAAATTTTTTTATCCTCGATTATGTCTAGTTAAATATAATATTATAAGTGTATATTATATAAAGATGAAGGGATGAAGGAATGAAGGAATGGAGGAATGTATTGGTGCCCTCTTTTACAAATTTTTTAGAAGTATGTCTGAACAAATGGTCTGTAGGAGATGTAGTTTTGCTTCGGGATATGTAGTTACAGGTGCAGGGATATTTTGAATTATTTCTCTTGCTTCCTCATCTAGTAACGTTGGGAACTCTTATGCAAGATGCGGTAACCAACTTTTGGGTTAAATCCATTTGATTTATGTTACAGTCGCCATACAAAGTAGCATAGGCTTAGAGTTGCATATCGGCTAGGACCAACACAAAATCTCGATAGCCAATATGTACTACTTTAGACTTAGCAGGCAATTAAAAAGTAGAGCTCTCTTTCGATAAACAAAGATCAAAGTCAAACGATTCGCTCATCATTTCCGCTCTACTTTATAGTGATGAAATGTGGTCGTTTACAACATCCTATGACTCGGCTTTGGGAGTGCTCGAGAGAAATTTTTTATGAATGATTTAAGGTCCTCGGCATATACGACGACGGCAAAGAATAATGCAAAGCTAAATGATATGTACGGTGGCATTGACATACATGACTCAACGAAACTAAATAAAGCGGAAAGACCTCCACTTCATTGCAAAGATCAGATGGAGAAGTATCTGGTTTCACTTGCTTCTCCAATCAGCGTCGAACAGAAGAAGCGACGGCCGCGCGGCTATCTTCGCGTAAAAAGTATTTAAATTCTGAACCTCCGGCATGCTACGCACACTAATCTCCCACATATTGTGTCGAAAATGCAAAATACGAATGTGTGGTGAGAAGAAGAGGCCGATAACTGAAGATAGATTGCAGGCTATCTAGAACATTCTAACAGGATATTCTAGAATATACATGCTATCATTCCAGCTAACACAGATTTAAGATCGTTTGGCCCCAGACTTCACACAACTCAGAAAGACAACATATACACCAAGCGAGAGACGAGTGTGAATCCAAAGCCAATATTTGCTAAAACTGCTTCGTATGCTCAGACACGAGGAAACAGTCGCACTTTGGTATAAACCAGAGTAACAGCGAAACGTCCAGAGATAGAAAGTGCTGATGTGTTAAAAGATGTGTTAAGAAAAAAATTTGTACTGATACGACAGCCAAGTGCTACAACTGTAGAAAACCATGACATTTAGCCTGTGAATGTAAGAAAAACTACTCCAGACAAGAAAGAAGGCGGAATCGCAAAGCTGAAGATGAATGCGCCATAATCTCCACCTCGCTAATTGGCAGTTGAGCGATCATCGTTAAACTCGTACATACATATGTGGATGGATATTGCGTATCACGCTCCATAACTGGATCTGACTGGATCGCCGGAGTAAAGTGTGTCAATAAACCGTGTGTTTATGAAGAGTTGTGCAGTTATTAAACTCTGTGAACACAGTAGAGATGTAGAATAAGACGTAGTGTACAGTAAATCGAGTTATTACTTATTGAGTAATAATAAATGTTGATGAAGTTCTTTACAAATAAGAAATTGCAAAAGAAATCATGGGAATTTTATTTAACAATCCAGTGAACGTACTCGAGAGATATGGGCAATCATCGATACGTATTTAGCTAAAATCGTTACGACATGTAATATGTTGATAGGATGAATAACCGATGCTCGGATCTTGTCTTAACAACAAACATTCGGGAGTCGTATCTTCGCTCCTTCGTAACAGTTGACATTCGTAAACTCAGTTATCCTATATTATGGAGTCGGCATTAACGTTAACAACAACATCTGCCTTGAATCATTTTGTGCACGCAAAGTTACTTCATGCTGAGAAATGTAATATTTAAAAGCAACAAATCAAATTCTGTTATAGACTTTTTAATATTTCCGTTACAACATTTTTTTTTGAAAATTTCGAAAGTTTCTTAACGTACTATAAATGCACACATACAAACATATATCCTGAAATATAGAATTTATTAATTAATTTACTAACTGCACCTCAACGAATTTCTATTGGCTTGTGCATGAATGTAAATAAAATTTATAATTACCGTCGGAGTTTAGTATGAACGCGCCCCTGATGAGTGGCTCTTACCGTTACGCCTCACGCAGCGATTAACATCCGTTTGTTTGGTTCCTCTATTATGTACGAATACATACATTTGCATACCAATATCAAAGTACAGTGAAGAGAAAAAATATAAAGTAGCAAGTCTTTAATTAGTGCTAAGAACTTCATGCAGCATTTTTTCTTAATTTTCAATTTAAAGTCTCTCGCCTAGTTCATTGAAACTCCCATAAATGGAAAATGGTAAAAATTCAAGCTTATAGTTATTTAAAAAAAAATTCCCGTGACTCAATTTTACTCCTCATTGTTATTGCTTAAACACCTGCACATGTATTTAAATGCATACATACGTATGTACATATGTATGTACATCCATAAATGCATATGTATATGTATGTAGGCATACATTTGTACAATTGGTTTTCGAGACGAACTGAGTTCGCTGGATACTTGAAACATCCATGGACTGTAAGGAGGGTGGAATATAAAGGAGCCACGAATTTATTCGCTTAATTGCTTAGTCGACAAGGCGTCGGTGCGTATGCAAATTTGTTATATACTTGTGAAAAAACTCAAGCGCAGGGTTGTCAGAGTACCTTGAAATGACTCTTAACCATTAAACACGCGGCAAATATTGTTTTAAATTTTTTTTTTTAAATTTTTGAAGCATGAAGACTGAAAATGTTCTTTTCTATTTCATTCCGCTCACTAGTCATATAAGAAGCTTACAAAATCGAACTTCCTACTTCCTCAAAGAAATTCATTTTTGTTTAATTATTAAATATGTATGTACATATATACATATATATATATATGTATTTATGTAAGGCAGCTTTGATTGTCCTATCATGAATATACTGGAAAGGCTTGGCATTCCCTGCCGAGTGGCGACCGTAGTTGGAAAATATTTTTTACTGCTCGGAGTTTGGTCATACCAAGAATCGAACCCTGTGCTATCACTCGGCTATTGCGAACGCCCAAAATTACTAGTTCATTAAATATTGGCAGCCCTTCCGAAGAGTACAAATATGCATTCCAAATGAATATACTAATGGATACAGTAAATGCTTACTCAAATGCAAAGCACATTTTCATTATATTGAACGAAAATCAGAGGTGGATCTACTTAGTCCGATAATAACATTGTAGAGCACGATTTATTAGAGAACAATTTAGTTACTCTATATATACAAATACATACATACATATAAAAATATATTTATAAAAATTTACAAATATTTTATTTAGAATAAGATTTGTTCTTATTCATTTGAAAGTGAAAATTATATTACTTTCGAAAATGAAAATATTTTAAACTTAAAATTCAGTAACATAAAAATTGAAAAATTTAAAATAGAAAGTTACAAATGTTAAAGTAACTTTATTTAAAATTTACTCCCATTTACT